ACCTGGAGAATTTCCAATATGGAATCAAGAACAATCTTGTCTGCAGTATGCCGCGGCACGAGCGGCAAAGACCCTGTTTTTCTTTTGTTTTTATTTTATTTTATTTTTCCTGGGCTGGATGTGTTCCAGAAAGGGAAAGATAACCATTTCTTTCTATGATTGTCAAGTTCGGGGAGAATGTTGCTACGATACAATATGGGTGCGGGGATAAACCGGGCTGGTCTGGGCAATGAAACAATAAGATTCAAGATCTTGCGCCTTATTCTTGTTGTGTTGTTCAAGGAGACAAGTAGATGGATGGGATGAGGGGAACCTTGCGTGGGATGGTCAAGAAGATGGCCCAGGTGTAAACATACATTGCACCTGATTGGGATATGTTGGGGAAGAGTGGAAATCATTCTGGAACTAGCTTTCAGAGAGATTGTCCAAGTTACACGCTTAAACTGTGCAGCACCCCTTCCCACCTCCCTGGCCAAATTTTTATTAAAGATCCATGGATAAAGCACCTAACGCTATGCCGGCGGATGATATCAACCTGTTGCTACTGATATCAGAATTTTCACGACCATTCTCATATTTTCAGCCCTCCCTACAATATCATCACATCATCCAATCTTGACTTTACTATGTTCGGTGAGGAGGGGTTATTACTAGTGAAACATATTTATTATTGGAACCATCTATCTAGTTATCATACGAATGCCACCCAGGAGCGGGCCAAGAAAAGCACATCATATCCAAAGCCGACGTCTCGGGCCAAGCTCACGATAATACAGGGTAAAGAAGCAAAGGATCCATTCCCACGTACATCCATCCATACATACCCACATCCCTCTTGGCTTTTGTGCCCCGTAGCATCCCCCGCCCAGCTTTATAATTTATTTTATGAATATCTTCCACCCTCCCCGCTCATTTTCCCGCTCATTCATTGTCCCCCCATTTAGTCTTGGCGCCGTTGCTGCGCGGACCCAAAGAGATGCCTATATTTATTACGCGCAAATTCGTTTGAAATGCTCAGGCAGAAAAAGCTTGGAAACTTGACAGAGAAGAGGGAAATTCTTTCTTTTGGTTGGTAATTTACCGTCCTTTCTTTGGCGTCATCTTTCGGTGCATCATCAATTATGATCAAACACAAGCATGTTAATAACGTGTGTCAGTGATGCGCTGCACGTCCATGCTCGACGGCAGTGGGAGTTTTGGGTGGAAAGCGTGGAGTATTAGTTGCTCTGATAGGTAATAGATGCTTCAAAGTAATATGATTATGCAACGGGGCAATGCATTATTTTCGGTATTGTAAAAATAGAAAGAGTATTTACAGAAATACTAAAAATGTGTCAAGAAGTGCGTTTTGGCTCTGCAATAAAGCTAAATCCAAGGGTGCTAAACCGTTCAACCCGCTTTTTTTGGTTTGGCTTGTTCTGATTGGGTCATTGGTTCCTTCTTTAGCTTTTCTGGAATTCCCAAGGTTCACGGGCAATGGGGTTCGAACTTTGCCGTTGCTTCGACTTTGCTTCCTCCTGCTTTGTCGCTGATAAACTCAACATTTTTCCGGGGTTATGCAGTTGAACGTGGTTTAATAGTTGGGCCGTCTTTCCAACCCCACACATTATTAATACACCTTTCAACCTTCCGCCGTTCAACACCAAGGGTTAATTAAGGACAGATAGGATTAGGATTAGGTTAGGATTAGGGTTAGGGTTAGTGAAGGAGTAAGGACCTTGAGAAATATAAGGAAAAAATCACCGTCATCTAGAGCTTATAGAGATGTGTGAGATAATGTGTGAGGTATGACTTAATATGTAGTTATAAATGAGCAGTGTCATGATTTTAGGGCATTCATAGAATCCAGTCTAGGGTTTTTCTCTGGCTGAGATTTAAAACTACGTTCAACATTTTTTAAAAAAACCAAACCCATTTATCCCGCACTTTGCCGGAAAAATGTGTGCCGAGAATTAGTTACGAAATGTAATCCTTTAACTGTATCTTTCCGTATCAATACGCGCTGGTACTGAAAATTATACTCTCTGACCCCAAAGGCCCTCCAAAACTATGCTCATTAAATATTCCGGAACGCTCCTGCTGTCGCCACATCTCTGCAATCAGAAGACCCTCCCAGACTATTAGCCATGCACGAAACAAGAAGCTTGTGCGGACCGGGGGGGAATGTCCAAGGATCACTCTGGAACCCCGATCCTATCCAGCAAACCTCTCGTTGAGCTTGGTTCATTTCAAACATGGCAAAAATCGAAGTGTAAGTAACAAGCCTTTTTTTTTTTAAAAAAAAAAAAAAAAAAAAAAAAAATTAATCCGAAACAGCCGATTCGAACACAGCTTGATAACCATCTCCTTGGTACAGTCATACTCCGTAGATTTCTGGCAAAGGTGGGTTTGTTCGGTTCCTCGGGTCAACTTGCGGAGTTATCGAGGACTGAGCCCCAAGGTTAACCGACAAGTTTTAACTAACCGCCCATCCCGAGTCCCCGGTGGGAACTTAACAAAAAAGGGAAAAATAAGAGAAGAAACTCCTTCGTCGAGTAGTTAATGCATACATATCACTCACAATACAAAATACCAATAGCATTGCCCTGTCTTCGCACGAGGTCGGTGGATTTGAGTCTACTTCAGCTTAAACCCAACCATGTGGGAATACAAGAACAAAAACGCAAAAGCAACCCAGATGATGAGCTGGGGTGGTTGGGCTTGGTTTTTCTTAGCCTATGATCCCTATACCATGGGTCGTATTCAAATCGTTCTCCGCGGGAGTGCTTGTCATTGTTGTTGTTGTCGTTGATGTCGTTGTTGAAAATGAACCACTACGGAGCACTACTTCCACGATTACAACATGATGGAAAGGTAGCGATGAATGCGATTGAATTTTCTTTTCATGTAACCATCCAACAATAATAGCGCTGTATGAATCGAGTTGCGGATGAATAAAACACTACCCTTTTTGAGGGTAGAGACAAATGAAAGACACGAAAAACCAACCCCACTGAACTAGCCGCTCTCACCGTAGCATTGCCACGTACAGCAAAGACGCAACGTCCATAAGAAAACCATCGAGGAACCTTTTTTCACTACTACATTTTAAATGTTCCCATGCACATCACTTCCAACATATGGAGTTATATGAATAGGTGTACTTGCTCGACGCGTCTTGTTAAAACGAAACACTCCATCCACAGTGGAAAATCATGGCCTATATCTCTCCACTACCCCCACCTCTTTCTATTCCCCATGGGGGAATTGGTCTGATTACCCAAGGTATACACATTATTGACCATGAAAATTCAGTTTTTTTTCAACAATTTTTGTTTTCTCAGGGCAAAATAATTCCATCAGTTCAGCTAGTTCTTGCAATGGAACTTGTTCAAAACTTCTTCCAATAAAATCCCAACAGGAACGCGTGATTGATGATTGATTAGAGGACGATGATCGGAAACTGGATCCAGCCAGGCGCCCAGGGTCGGTTCCCCCTTGCCAATCAATGTCGCCTCCTGCGTGACTTCATGTAAATAATCAGCTTCGCTTGCTTGGCATTTTTTCCTCATACGCAGGACTTCGCATGGGATTACTTCTTTCCAACACCCCAACACCCGAGCTAAGCGTCGGTTCCCCTTCTGGCGTGGGGTTGGAGTGACGTCTGTTGGAGTGTGGAGAAACGGGAGTGAGGGGGAACGGAGAGAAATGGAACACCTCCCCAGGAAAAGGATGGAGGGTGTGGAGGTCGTTTATGGGTCCTTTTTTTTTTTTTTTTTTTTTTTTCCTTCTTTCGTATTGAGGGAGAAACCGGAGGATGATGAACTGGATAGTTTTGATCCTCTTTTTCTGAAAAATGGATAATTTACTACCCATGGTTTATTGGTCTTAGGTCAAAGGGTCAAACAATGCCGGGATGATATTACATACATGACATTACTGGGATTCCTCGCCCTGGATTTTCCATTCCATGCATACGGAGAATACATGCGGAGAATATATCTTGCATCCATTCCAATGGATGGTTGTTTTCCCATACCTTCCATTGAATATCAAATTATGATGCAACTAACTCTATGGAGGTAAACCGGGGGGGAGGATTAATTTATCCCACACCTCTGCCTCCTAGCACAACGCATCAATCGCCTGACAAGTAGTGAGGATAATATATTGAATTGATAGAAACACAACCGTTCACCAAGTTATGTTGACAGGAGCTACTCCGCACTCCATGCTCGACATGATAGTGTCGATACTGTTGCATGCACGGTCCATACAAACACGGTCCGTCTTCTCTCCGACAACGCCCCCCTTGCCCCGTTCCAGATTCCCAGTTCCCCAGACGCATAACTGCAAGGGAAGGGCACTTGGGACAATTCACCTGATTATCGGATCTTTGCTGGCGAGGGTCTCGATCCTTACAGAGACGAAAATAATACGCACACACATGTACATACATGCCTAAGTTGGATAATCAGGCCAACAGCTATTTATTGGCTATTAACAAAAAGACTTCGAATCACCAGAACCTGAATAATGCAGGATTAACTCTGGAGGTTTTTCCAGATGGTTCTCATTCAACTATCAAAGCAGACTGGTGTTCGGGGTGAGGGGTTGGCTGTAGTTATCGACATGCCGGGCAAGATCGTCCGGAGATATGAAGGCATTGATATAATTTGAGACCCCGTAAAGACGTAGTTAATTCTGATTTTATATAAAATGTTTTCGTTTCTCCTATAACTAATGAGCGCGGTTCCAATTCCATTTATTTGTATGAGCGATATTTATACAGCAATAAAATAGCGGGGTGTCTTGAAGAGATTATTAGTCTGGAACAGGCAAGGGGGCACGTGGGCGGCAAATTGCGCGACGTTATTAATAGCCCAGAGCAACCAGCAAGCAACGAGAACACACCGCGCGGGCACGGGCTTCATTGTTCATCCCTGCTCGCCATTATTTATGGATCTCTCTCTTTCTTAAATAACTTACCCGCACACCAGCACCCTAAATAAATATCCAGTTCACATACGGACATTCCCGTTGGGGAGCCACTGCGATGAACCCCATAAATTTGAGCGAGTGCCTTCGTCGTATCCGTTCGTCGTATGGAAACGGCAGATTAACTGCCCCAGATAATATATATAGCCTTTATGAATGCAACATGCCCATGCCGCGATGCAGCGGTCGCAAAATCCCTCCAACCTTAGCCCTATGGATATGAGGAATATGAGCTCTCCTCCCTGGCCAAGTGGGCTTTTTAGCCGATCTACCGTAAACACTTAAAACCACCCACCAAACCCCTGAACCAATTTCTGCTCAAATGAATTGCTGCCTGTGCTTACCGTGCCTTTCGCATCTGAGCGAAGTAAAACTAAACCCCCCTGCAAATTGGCAAGAGACTCGGGATCCTCCAAAACGGACAAAAATCCATGCCACCCTTCTGAAGGTGGGCATTCCGCCCGGGATTTCTGGGATGATGTCACCGGTGGCATTTGTTTGGTGCGATGATTTATTATCTTGACCCGCCGAGTTCGCTAACGCGGCGGCACGGAAAGTCGGGGAATAATTGATGGCGAGGACACGACTTCAAAAAAAAAAAAAAAAAAAAAAAAAAAAAAAAACAAATTTAATTCAAGGTCCCTGTTATATACTTTTTTTTCCGTCAGCCAATTTTAGTTGTATTTTTATTTTTAAATTTTTCAATTTTCATATAACTATATTTCCAATTGGCACTTCTAAAGGTTGGGACTTTGACATTAAAATATATATATATATATATATATCCCATCAGCCTCAGCCTTTCCCAAGTTTAGAAAATCTTTTGAACATGACACGAGGGCCCATGAGGATGTCTGAAGTTAAAGCATTGGCCCCTAGACTCTTGTTCCAGACTTGAGGCACTCCCTTTTTCCCCACAGATGGCGGGCGAAATGTCACATACGAGGCATCCTTATACCTAAAATACATGGGTCCAGAGCAAGCAGGAGAAAACGCCATGTGTATGTATGTATGTTTGTATGTATTTATATGTATGTATGGAATGGATGTATGTATATGCGGCGTTCCGACAACGTGCAAAATGTGTCGGAGTTTATTGAGCCCCGCATACACGCCTCGCCTCGCTCACCTCATTGTACGAGGGTGGATTAGTTTAACACTTTGAGATGGTGACCCTGATTTTAATCACGACATGGCGTTTTTGTTTGATCGCTTCACGGATGGCTAGTTAAAAGCTATAGAGATTCTCCTGAAGGTCGTCTGTGGTTGGACTGACTGGGGTGTGTGTTTAGTAGGAGGCGAAGCAATTATAAATCACCTTGCTGCGCATGAACTCATTTATCTTCTTTTTTTCTATAATTAACACTCTATCTGGGTTCATGGCTTTTTAGCTTCCGCAATCGCAGCTCCATACGACTAACTTTGCAGAAATGGTTGATGTTTTTTGACCTATCCGCCACCCGGGTCATGAAATCGCACCTGAGACACTGGCTTTGAATTGGACGGAGTAGAAGGATGTTGAACAGTAATGCATCCCGTGAGGCCATCCTTTCCGCATTTTCCCCCTTCTTTTCACTTGGCTGAAAAGCTTAGAAATGCTTGTTTTCCGCACCCGGAAAAGAAAGGAAAACCCCCCAGAACAATCTTCAATATGTGTGTCTGGTCTTCAATTGTGGCGAAAACAACGCGAGACGAGAGCGAGGAATGTGCTTCATAATGACCCCTGTGCACGTCGTGGCGGTGATTATGGACATGAAGTTTTTTTTCACGATGGAAAGGGCGAGAGAAGGAAGCCACCAGCCAACCCAGACTATGATCATGTATGCTTGTCTTCGTCTTCCAACCTACCAAGGGGTCTTTTGTTTCCTTCCCGGGTCCCTCCCAATTCTCCTCTGTAACTATCTAAGCCCGTTGCTCTAGCAAAAACGGGGTCAATTGCCTGCTATGCTTGCTTTATTGCCACATCACGCCCAATTCCATCTCTCCACATCGTGCCAATCACTTTGTGCTTTTCAAGATACGATATGTGCTTGTCTCTTTGAGGATGACGCAGCATTACATCAAAGGGGGGTGTTTAGGTACTCATTGAGTGAGAGATTGACAAGGAGAAGGAAGAAACGTTAAAGTAACCATGAAATGTAAAATGGTATTAAGGCCTAAGTAGGTGCCCAGGCAATTAGGTATCTAAACAACTAAAGACAATGAAGGTAGAATCTTGGACACACATACATACATCCTATTTCAATAAACCGGCCATCATCGAAACTTCACACACACACACACCACGTTTTGTCGCAAATACAAAATGTGCTGTACACAAGGTCAAGCGGAGTCATCTCGTCTCACGGAATGATCCAGAGCTTCCCCACCCTTCTAAATCCAACCCTTCACTCATTCCTCGCCCTCTAGTAAAACGAGAGCCTGTTCACGAAGCTTGAATTTCTGGATCTTCCCGCTCGCGGTCTTGGGGAAGTCGGACGAATCTTGCATGAAGAATACGTGTTTCGGAACTGTGTAGAAAATACGTAAGACGGTGTTAAGAACTAGCTTGGTCCATTTCCTTGACACCCCATTAAATGCCTTTATCAAAGCTCATAGGGATCTAGTGAGTTGGGGAATATGCATGAGGATGGGTTCAGGAATTGGACGTCGAAAAGTGAGATGTTCGTCGCTTAACGCGATGTTGTTCCTTAAAAGGGGGAGAGGTTGGGCAAATATGCAGTGTGAGAACAGGCGAACCGCAGGAATTAAACCTTGCTAACTATAACAGGGCTTAACTTGCGGATATCTGGCTGGTGTCTGATGCAGATAAATTCACCGAGTCCCTTAGGGTATAATACATGTGTGGGGATGGATGGAGGAACAGGTGCAAACTCTTAAGGCAGCGTTAAAGAAACGAAAAAAAAGGGGGAGAAATTTTCAATTACAACATTTGAATAAAGGGAGGGGAAACAATGTCAAGGTGCAATCGAAACTGGCTGATATAATTGGGTTGTGCAACGACTCCAAATTGGAGCAGAAGCAATAGAAACCAAGTCAGACGACTCATGATTTTGGTTTCGAGTAAACCACTATTCATTGGCAGAAGGGTTTAGGGAGGTAGGGGAAGAGAAAAAATTTACCGCTAAAATGGGCCAGAATGGTCGGACAGAGCGTTGTATGAGGGATATTTTTGTGACGGAAGGTGAGTATGAAACCCCCCTTGACCACCAACAGAATAAGCAACAGCAGGTTTTTTTTTTTTTTTTTTTTTTTTTTTCAGAATCAGGAGATATCCCTGAGTTGATGAAGTCGCCTGCAGTCGAGAGACTTAAGGCCAAAACAGTGAAACCCCATTGCGGTGGACAGTGCAGCAGCCAAGAGATGTGGAAAAATGCAGAGATTCAAAAAAATATACAAAAAAACGAACCAATGGGGGGATCCTTTCGCCAAATACGAAAGATGGTCCGTGAGGGTTGGTTTGGAGCTCATCTGAAGAGGTGGAAGATGCTTTTGTGGCGTGGAGACCTCGTGTAGCGCACTCATGGGCCCGAGCGGGGCCACGACCATGGATTTGGGGGGGATGAAAGCAGAGACAAGAAAATGGTGCAAAAACAAGCATGACAAGCATGCGGGTGATCCGTGTCTTGGATACTTGGCGCATATTGAATGGTTGATATCGACGAGGAGAAGGAGGTTCGAGGATTCAGGTGTCCAAAGCCTCTTCAAAATGAAACGAGATGACATCATAGGATGTTGCAGGTTCCAAGCGAGCACTATAAAAAAGAAACAAAGAAAGAGAGGAAAATGGAGATAAAATCTTACCTAGATGGTGGCTCAGTTTTTCCCTCACCCACACCCTGATTTGTTCTGCAGTGATCATCTCCTCGACTTCTTCTCGGGGAACCACAAAGGCTGCCACAGCCTCTCCGTATCTTTCATCAGGAACTCCGACAACAGCCACATTCGACACACCAGGATGAGCAAAAAGACAGTTTTCAATTTCTAATGGATGGATATTTTCACCCCCACGAATGATAATATCCTTTATCCGGCCGGTGATGGTTATGTATCCGTCTGCTGATATCGTAGCTTCGTCACCAGTCTATATCCAATACACAATGAGGAACATATTAGTCAATCGTGAAACGGCTGTCGTAATATCCCGCGACCAATCGAGTAAGCGTTGTGCGAAGACTTACATGCATCCAGACTTTCCCTTCCTCATCTTTCACCATCACCTCCGCCGTGCGTTCGGGAGCACCCCAGTATTCTTTCATAACCAGATAGCCGCTCACTACGAGTTCACCCTTGGTATCCACAGGAAGTATCTTGCTTCTATCGTACGGGTCAACCACCTTCGCTTCCACGTGAGGCATGAGACGTCCAACGGATGTAATTCTCTTTTCAATAGGATCATGCGTTGTCGTCATCGCTGAAACCGGGCTAGTTTCCGTCATGCCATAGCAGATGGTTAGTTCCGTTAGATTCAGCGTCTTATGGAGCTTTTTCATCAATTCTGCTGGAACGCTGCTGCCAGCTGCAATCCCCGTTCGTAGATATTGGAATCCTTCATGGGGCACTTTCCCATCCTCCAGAAGCTCCAATTCTTCAACAAACATCGTGGGCACTCCATAGAGAGCTGTGCATTTCTCTTCCTGGACAGCTTTGAGGGTTGCGATGGCATTGAAGGATTCGGCGGGGAATACAATTGCTGAGCCGTGTGTTGCAGTTGCCATGTACCCCAAGATACACCCGAAGCAATGGAATAAAGGTGGAGGACAACAGACAATATCATTCGGAGTGAATAGCATGCGGTCCCCGATTTGAACCCCATTGTTAAGAATTGATCGATGAGTTAGGCAGGCAGCCTTTGGCATGGAGGTGGTGCCTGATGTAAATTGTATGTTTACGACGTCATTTGGCGAGAGGCCCTGCGGTGGCAAGGGACGCATATCTTGCGCGAGGTTCGATATTAGGGAGGAGAAGTGAGTTGTGCAGTTAAGCGAAGTTGTGTCAACGCGGCCATCGTCATTGCTGACAAGAATGATTCTTTTTAGAGAAGGGATGGTGTGAGACTGGAGCTTCGGGCTGAGGAGGTCGGGAACTATTTGTTGAAGCAGTGGGACAGTTGAGCGAGGTTCTCGACGCGGTAGGTTTACCTCTGTACTCATAATCAACTGGGAAGCTTCCAGATGGCTGAGTGCAGCGACTATCTGGTTAACATTAAATGATGGGTTCAATGGGACCTGGGAGAGTGTGTGAATGGGTTAATACATGGATATAATTCCCTTGTTTGAAGTAAAAATTTTAACTTACCAGAATCACTCCAAGTTTGAACAAGGCATATGTTACCTAGGCGTTAAATTCAGTAGGTGTTTGAACATGAAAATCGTCTACCAGGAGCTCTGACACAATTCCCAAGGGGTGGGGGGAGGCGATATCCATTTCCATATCATAGCTTACAATTGCATATTCAATAGAATTCCCCAATGAAACGGCCACTCGATCACCTTTAACAAGCCCACCTGCAGCTAATCCGCGAGCTAGCTCATTGCTCTTCTGGTCCAATTCTTCGTATGTCAGTCGTTGCCCCTGATGCCTCGACACGACACTGATAGGCGCTCAGTCAGCATAAAATTTCGCCCGGCGGCGGGAAAAGGTGGATGCACGCACGCTGTTCGGTCACCATATTTGGACACGATGTTTGCGAAATGTTCTCCAACGGTTTGCTCGAATAAAGGGGGCTAATCATGGATGGAAGCGCATGCCAAAAGCAGCCACGAGTCGATGTTAGCAGGTAAAACTTCCAAGTATTTCAGAGACAGATATTGAATAGAATGGGGCCTGAAATGTTATCTATGTATATACATTTAACAGCTACAAATAGCCCCACTAACCTCTGTTGGACCTTTTGCATGGCTCATTGTCAGAAGCGATCGCCTTTGAAGCAGCGGAAAAGACCCTCTAACCCTCAAGGTCGCTATTATCGACCTTGCCTTGCAAGACACCCGCCAAATCTGAGACCCCCGCATAGCTGAAAAATATTGAACAGGTATTCTGAATCGTATGCTCTATTAAGTAAACAAGGTATAATGTTATGTCATACTCGGAATTGGAGTTTGGAGGTTGATGTTTCCCCTAGCGAGAGCAAAAATGCGGGGGAATGATGAGCTTGCAATGGTGGGTTGGCGGTGTTGTGGTAACTATGTTGTGCAGCTCGGCCTCAGGTAGCAAGGGAAAGCTTGAAGCGGTCTTTTGAGGTAGAAAATGGTGAGCCTAGATGTTAAAGCAGAAGAAATGGCCTTCCCTTTTGATATAAAAGACAAAGACAGTCCAAGAGGTGTCAAAACAATTTATGATGAAGGAGAGATTTGTTTAAGGCATGCCGGCACAAAACCCGCTGAAGAGTGTTGGCGTCTTCGGCTCGCAGCTCATTTCAGCGCTTGTTGAGGCACAGCGATGTCCCGCCGATTCGCATACCTTTTGGCCCTTGTTGGCCCGGTAATTGTGTCTCTGGAAGCTTACCCGTAGTGCCTGGAGTGTCTCTTGTTATTGCGGAGTTCTTGTTGGCTGGTTGGAGTTGTGGAGAAGCAGCGCGCAATAAAGTATGGCACAGGCACAACAAGAATCCAAGTTTCAGCTTGGTCCATGACTTGTGCTGAGCTCAATGAGCTCAATCAATGGAATGTACAGGGGCCGCCAGCCAAACAAATTTCAGCGATTATTTAACTAGTTAGTTATTTGTGATTAGTTAGTAAACTAATAATAGCCGATCTCAATTCCATAAACCCATGAGTATTGATTAGTTATAACTTCAAAGATTTGCTTAAAGTGTCAAATTCCTTGCATTGGTGTTTTTGCATCCATGATATATTGAGAGCAATGCATCGCAGAAACTTATATATTTCCAACAGTGCAATTATAGGCTAGCTAATAATTGCCAATGTTTATTATGTTGTTGTTCTTCGTCTTGATTGGAACCAAAACAGACCAATCCCAAGATCAGACTTCAGCTGCCCCTCGCAGACGTCCCTGTATATTTGCGCTATGGGTGATGGAGAAGAGCAGGACAATATTGACTTTGATTCTCAAAAAGAGGAAGATATCGGGGAGTGGCATTATGGTGATGGATCTGTCCTTCGCAACCAGTGTTTCCAGCTTTACGATATATGGTGTGCTACGTCCTCTACGCCGAGAGATGGGACTTCCAACCTTTCCGTTGTGGATGCTTTTCTGGATATGTTAAAAGACGTTAAAGATGTCGCGCCCTATTTCCATAAACCCCCAGAAGGTGTCGACATCAAAGGCGGAGGGAAATAAATTTCCCTGTCTTGCATTCATGTCCCAAGATTGAGACTACAAGCGACCCGCCTGTGGTCAAAAGTTGAAGGATGTAGACTATTATCAGGATTTTGGATTTGGCCGGCCCTGGGCATGCGATATACTTCCGTCTGGCATCTCGCCGACTCGCTAGATCAGAGAGGTCACTTTGCAAGTATTGATCTTGCATGGTCATACATCATCTGTTGTCGTTGGGTTGAAATACTTCAATCCGCTGGTGAGCAAAGCCTGCTATGGAGAACTTCAAGGCTATTTTTGGACTTGGTCATACACGGTCGATGGCCAGCTGTGGTGAAGCCAGTTAATGTGAACGGGACATCCCGTGCGCCGTGGATTTTGATGCCGAAGGGGAAGAAGTTGAATTCCACGCACAAGTATGTTTTCTAAACAAAATTTCCAAGCCATTCATTGTCATATTGGTTAAAATGGAGAATACCATGACAGTCCTATGGTTCGAGTTCCACCAGATTCATCGCTTGCTTTTGATATCTTGTTTGATTTCTGTATCTCCAATAGTCTAGAAAAGGAGTTTCTTGCTGGACTCGTGACCTTTTTGATTTTCACGTTGCGGAATGTACCCACTCCTCAGCTGAGTCCGCCGACTATAGTTTCTAACTGTGTGGTTCCCCCAGCGCGGAGAAGCTCTATTTTCCAGAGACTTCTTGAGGCACTAGATAAATGTATAGCTCTGGCTCTACAGCTGATGCCCCTGATTCTTTGCTGGGTAGCACGTTCTTTGATCCGCGCATTCCCTGCAATTATCTTTGGATATTTGCAAAGTACTTCTCCCGACCGACAGTAATGGTTTTCAGAGGTTGCTACAAGCAATCACTGAGAAAAAGGCGTATATGAGCCTTCTGTGGCATGCCGTTGTGAATAATCACCAGGCAACAAAGTTCCTTAACCTGACCCTCAACAGCCTATCCCCAATTTCTCTTACAACGGCATTCTGGACGAATACCAAACAATCATTCCTCCAGGTAATATATGAACCGCACAACCCAAGGGATGTAACTATCTCCTGGGCTGAGGAGTTCATCCAGTCCTATTACTGCCGCCCAGAGGTTGACTTTCCAAGGTCACCAGCACCTCCCTTGCTTCAACGCGCACTGGGAATTCAAGCTCTCAAATAAGATCTCATTTCCAACACATACATGTGCCTCTGTCATGGAAGTCGTACTGGATCTTGCATTCTAAGGAAAAAGATTTCCACCGGCTCACATCACATTCCGTCGGCAGCTGCAGTTCAAATACAATATTTGGACACAATAAACGAAAATGAATGGAACAAAGAGTATGTACGCTCAATTATCGCTTCCGCTCCACTTCGATAATGTGTAGATACATGCCGGCTAATTTTAGAAGGATACAAGCCCAGAGTAGAAAATGTGCAGACGACCAGTCCGGGATCGCGACAACACGGCTCTGCAACTGGCACCGACATGAAGATCATGGTTTGTGGCTTGACGATGGGACAAGGGACATAGAAGGGATTCGCCAGCTGTAACGGAACTCATGGATTGTTGACGGATTTACCGCATCTCATCCTCTAGACAAAAATGACGGCGAACCTCCTGACATACGCTGAGATAGTCTCTTGGAGTGGAGGACTAAAGTTCAACTGTGCATGCATGCCTTTAATGATGAGCACTTAGTTGGGGAGGAGGAGGAGGACAAAAAAGGTCCACGCAGCGAGGTGAGATGGCTTTTTATAAATGGTTGTATGGGGATGATGCAGTTCGTATTGTAAAAATGAAATTAATGTCCTAAATTCTTCATGTCATGCAGTTTGATCCTGATGATTTTCTCAGTGCTTCAGCTGTGTATTGTAGAACTTCTGCTTCTCTCTGCAGTTAATGATTGCTTGCTGTTTCACCTAAACAGCAGTTCATCATACGTGCTTGGCAAGAGTCACCAACCTTAAACCAGGCGATTCAGATACAGCACTTCCAACTGCAGACTGAATATACTCTTCCAATAACCCCCAGGACTCCGGCTTTCGCCTCTTATGTTGTATGAGGACCTCCAGCCCAATCTTCTGCCAGCGTGAACCAGCCAGTAAGCACTAGTTAGGTCGAACGTTGCTGTTCTGGTCGTAAAGCACCTCCCCCGCATGTCCTGGGCACTGCAGCCACATACGCCAGCTGTTGTTTTCCCGCCTGCAAGCAACAGTGCAACCAAGCTCTTTCAAAATCCCATCCACAAGGATTATCTCCCTCTCAAGCCGTCTCAGCTATCGTGCGAATAAATTATCACCGAGATGGCTTCTTCCGAGCTGTCTGCGGATGCCATCGAAAGCTTTATATCCTTCACAAATGCCACGCGGGAACAGGCGATAGCTTTCCTTGAGGTACGACAAAGTCTCGGGTTCTTAGGTCTTAATTTCCATGGCAACCTTGGTTGGAAGCTTGCAGTCTACTGTTTGAGCAATAATGGCTAACGGTGTTTTTGCGCCGCGATAAAATAATTACTAGGCAAATAACCATGATTCCAATAGAGCTATCAATGCCTACTTTGAAAACCCTGGCAGCGTGCAAGCTGAGGTGAGTGATCCAGTGCCATAATCACAGTGCCATGTTTTTCACTTGCTGTTGGGCATTGAGCATGATGCGTTGACTGATCCCCTGGTTCAGATGCAGGTATGGCCTATGCCACCTTCTAGTCAGCAGGAGCGATATGGATACCAGAATCAAAATGTACCTTGTGAGTTCAAGCGTCTATCTTCCAGGACTCAAGTGTCCTTGTATTCCTTCAAAAGTGTTACGTTAGGAGCCTGCTGACATGGTTATGTTATTTATTTAGCCTTTAGAATTGACGCCGATCCTGTGCACCCTGTCGGATACCGATCAGCTCCTTCACGTCCCCCGTCGAGAATTGGTTCTCACGACCACCTAGAAGATGCTAAGTTGGGCCAGCCGATCCGGGGCTCCACAAATAGGCTTGATGGTGAGTACGCCATATATTACGTTCCCGTGTTGGGAGTTGTCACATGTTGACCCGCCTGTAGATGTAGGAGAACCAGGCCCAACTGTGCGTATGTCTCTTGCGGAACAGGAGGAGCATGAGTTGCAGCGGGCAGTAGCATTGTCATTGAACGCTGAATTTGCTGGTAATGGCGATATTTCTATCGACGAAGGCGGCCAGGAAACTGGTGTAGTTCAACTCCACACGAATCACACCAGCTTTGGGCCTGCTACCAAGAGTCATTATGAGGAAACAGCCTGGGCATTAACGTTGCTGGATACTACTGCTCGCGACGTGTGCATCCACCCAGACCCGGAGGAGCGAAAGAGGGCAAACGATGAGCCTGCTTTCCTTCGCCCTTCAGCCGATATGGAATACCTCGCTGGCTTCGTAACTATTCTCCATGCAATCCCGCTGGCGAGAGAAGCTTTATTGCTTAGGGATAAAGTCATCCGAGACTATGGCAATGACCCGCAGTGGTGGAATGGACAGCCTATTAACCTCCCAGCCTCAGTAACCCTAGCTGATGATGGGTACATGGATGAAGATGAACCTAATGTTCTTCTACTTGAAACACAGAGGCTTATGGCATTTCTGGATTCAACTCATCGTGCATTTGGAAGCGCTGATATCCTAGCCAATCTTGACTATTCTCGAAGTGACAACTCCGATGATTACAGTATTGGCCAATTTTTGGAATCATGGCAAATATCTGCCGTAACAGCAACCCCAGATAACCAGCTGGCTACTGTATTCTCATCCATGGCTTCGAAGAGGCCATTTTCTATCAACGACGAACCGATTGATAGGGAATTCCTCACATTGACGCTTTCTGTTTATCCGGAGTATGCAGAAACGTTATACGATGTCATGGACACGTCGATGTGGAATGATTCAATGGAATCAGAGCTTGATGATATATGGATTGACCGTATTGGTGAAGTGTTCTCTCTACGGTTGGATGCTGCGGGAGATCAGAAATCCGTTAACGTAAAAATCCCTGCGGTGTGGTATCCCGACCGGTATATGGAGGCGTGCAGGGATATCTCTCGTGATATTCGAAAAAAGAGAATCGAGGCTTATATAGAGATTGAAAGACTGCATGATTTAATGCAGCGCTTCTCAACTTTGAGAATTGGCGACTATACCTCCCACATCAAGAATAGTTTTAATTTAGCTGTCAATGCGTTGCAGGTTGCTTCGCGGAATAACCTGGCCAATGGGTCTCACGAAGGCGCAGAAGATACACCAGATCAAACTATCGTATCGCATGAGGCTGTCATAGATCTCGCGAACGAGTTGAGGGGCCTCACAGAGAAAATCGACGAGAAGCTACAATGTACGTAATTCCTTTCCACGATCTACCTCATTTTGTGTTTTTACTAACGTAACTACACAGGCCTGGAGGAGAGAAAATATGAGGCGTTAGCTTCATTAAGACGGTATTCAAAGGAGCTTACGACTCCGTCTGACGATCCTACGAAACCACCATATAACAAATACACGTTGCGAGGCGTGTGCACGCTTCCACATGTCACATATGTACTGAGACGCTGCAAAAAGCTCGTCGACGACACAGATGAGTCCACCTCCACAAACCCAACCCCTGATGCATGGCAGTGGTGGCGGATCAGCTTTTCCGTCGATGACGCCAAAGCTCGACATGCAGAAGCGACTCAGACACCCATAGTACCCTCCTCCCAACAATATCCGGCCAAGGCCCAACCACAAAAGAGGCCGAGAGTTCCCCTACCAACCAATGCTGATGTGGCTGGTTATTCGGTGCGACCTGTCCGGGAAATAGAGGTTCTACGCGCTGCGAAGGATGAATCCCGTTCTGTGATTCTTGTATATGCAAATGAAAATGCGGTGAATTTTAAGGAGGAGCCCCTTCCACCGGAACTACAGGCATTTGTGGATGCTGACAACAAAGCCTTCGGAACTGAGTTAGAAGAAATTGCCCGGAGAATAGAGCAAGGGGATGAAACTGTACCATCAAGCGAAAATTTATGGTCTGACCTCGAACCTCTAGGCGGCCAGTCAGATGACATTGTCATTGATGGAGCGCAACAGATTGATGTAAGAAATGTGGAAATGGAACGTGTGCCTAAGTCATTGTCGTCGACGGAGGAGGTGGAAGTTAAACAAGGCAACTGTAAAAAACAAGGGTCATACGATGAGCGCGATCCTACAAGGATGCTTTCCAAATCCGCGGCACTACCCACAACGAACGTGTTCGACTATGAAGTATCTTCGTTTTCGGATACACCACCGAGTGAGGAGGAAAGGGGACCGGAGATGCAGGAGCGGGCTGGTGGTAGTGGCAGTGGACGTGGCATATTGGGCGTTGGCAGTGATGGGAATAGCTGGGTAAATTTTTCCATGCCACCGTCTGATCCTATGGACGGAATTCGGAAGGAGGGTGATAACAATGACAGCAATCCTGATAAGGTACTATTAGAGTAAGAATAAAGTGACGAGAGTGCGGCGCGAGGACGGGATTGAAGGTTGACGGGAAGTCCATGGTATTTCATATAGAGGTGTTCAATTTGGCAGATCAGATTCATCGTGTTAGAAATGAATAGCTGGTTGGATTCGGGGATCGAGAAGGGAGATGAGGGCGTTGGATGGGTATTTCCTTGCGCGGGATCTGTTTCCACACCTTTTTTTAATGATTTGAGTACTGCCTCAAGATGAAGGGTCGTTTACTCTGTTTAGCATCCGTCATCCTGATTGATGATAAGGGGATTTATATACCCCGTGCTTCCATGGGTACGAAGCCATACGTAGATAAATATAACAATACCTCGCGTCGCTGCGAGGTTTAGTTAGTTACACGTCTATAGTTCCGATCTGGAATAGCATAATAATGACGGGAAAATTTTCATTTTTAAGATAGGATCGGATAGGATCGGATAATAGATTTTCAAATTGTTATTAGCCTTCTCAGTTGTAATTCTTAATCTTTATTGGGCCGAAATTGCACTGCTTCATGCAATTTGTTTGATGCCCCTATTTACTAACTACCTGACGGCTGATTGTGATTGTTGGATGTTTGCTCTGTTTGCTCGACTTATGACGATGCGGCTTGTTTCCTCATCTCCTCCCCAAATATATGCAACGGACATCACATATTTACAACACAGCTACGTATCTATAAGTATTATTATTTCAGAACTGCATTGAATATTCTTCGTCTGTTATTGGCTGGGATTTACTAATGTAATTTCTCCCAACTCGAGGGAACAGGATACCACCACCGCGGCGTTGACAAACAACTTTTAAATAAATTAAGGCTGACATATCGGGACATATTAGACACTTTTCAGGGCCGCAATTAATAGAACCATCCATAATTCAAGCCGTCCCAGGTTTCTTCATCACGAACCATTTCCACTCACAACCGAAACAAGGAATAGTAACATCACCAAGCCTAGAAAGCCTGGAAATACAGAGTTACTCTCGACCTACTCTATCCTCATTCTATTATAACAAGCACATAACAAATACGCATTCGCACCAATGTCGAACCCAACATCTGCATCTTCTACCTCTCTCCCCGCCTCGACAGAAACGGCCGCAGACACAATTGAACTACTGGAATCACGATTACGCAGGATCGAGTACCTGCTGACGGGCGAGGCGAGCTGGACGGGCCAGCGGCCGCGGATACCAACTGTATCCGGTGCTTGCAGGAAACCAGCGACGACACGGCTGGCAGAGTTGGAGTATGAATTGAATGGGTTGGCGAGAACAGTGCCAGCTGTGAGGGACGTTTTAGCGCTTTGTAGGTTCCGAGTTCCGAATTTCCTTCAAATGAGTCTACAATATCAGTCCGGCCGTTGATACCTGATCTACGTTTTCAAATCCACCCGTTACGCAATCAAGAAAGCAGAGCTAACCAACCCCTCCAATTATACAGACTCCCGCTTTCCAGACCTTTTCCAATCCATCCCGGACACCACGTCGACCTCGACTTCCGCCAACCCCCAATCCATCCCAACAACCCTTCCCCTCCCCGCCCTAACCTCCATAATCCTCTCCTACGCCTCCGCCTTCCCTGAAACCGCCTCCCGCCTAACCTCTCTCAAAGACCTCCCTATCCCACCCGCCGCCCTGTCCGCATCCCTGATAGAGCTACAACCGCGCCTTGACCGGCTAGCAGCCGTGCAGGAGCAGCAAGCGGCTGAGATTGCAGAGCTGCGGGCGCGCAGTGCGTTGTTGGCGAAGCGGTGGGTGGAGGTTGGGGTTGTGGGGGGAAGTGAGGTTTGGGGAGAGTGGGAGGGGAGAGTGGAGAGGGTTGAGAAAGCGGTTAGGAGGTTGGAGGTTGAGGCGGAGAGGGGGATTTAACTTTCTGTTTTGGTTTGAGGAAGGGAATTTTCTCTTTTTTAAACGGAGGATATCCGTATGGCATTTATATGGTATGATCATTCCTTGCGTTTGTGTGGATGAGCGAACTGGTGTCATCTTTTCTTGATATTCTTGATTTTTTTGGTTGCATGCGTAGGAAGAAGTCCTATTAAAATTTCTTTTCTTTTTCTATTTTCTTTTCTTTCTGTGTGATTGAACTACCTGTTTCATTTTTGCGTTCTTCATTCTGCAGGGGAGTTTGAGCAGTCCCGGTGCATGATTCTTTTAAGGGCACTACTATTCCCAAGAAGGAAATAAGAGAAATATTACTCCGTATCTGAGTGGTATATTCATGCCTCCTTGCAGATATCACTACAACGTTACCTACGCTGTGAAAGACTGAGAGCGAACTTTTGACTAACTCATCATCATTGACTAGTTACTCCAAGCTAGGCTCCACAACCCCGACGCACACTTATCCCCCTCAACAGCTTGCCAGCGCGTGAGAACGGACGATGGATAAGTGTAATGTCGGTCCCGGGATTAACGACTGGAGCCCCGGTGGAGGCTAGATCGCGTTCATGGTGGCTTGTATGCCGCCTATCTTAGTGGGGATGGTGAACCTTTGGAAGGAGTTCCAAAAGCCGGCAGGGTGCATATTTTTTTACAGCGATCTGTGATAGCGTGGACGTGTTTCCATGAAGCCTGAATATAGCATATGGCGTATCCACATTCAGATATATTCCTTGGACACTAAGTCAGCATCAAAGAGCTCAAGTGAACAGAATACCACTATCTAGGTACCAAGGTAGGCAATGTATGATTATTTCTGCCTCGGACATATCGGAAATTTTCGAGCAGTTGAGATGTCAAGGGGTGGAGTGAAGACATGTCAGATTTCGAGTTTGTACAGAACTAGAAAGATACAATCTCCTTGGTTTCTTGTCTATGCCTAAATGTTATTAGGGAGTAATAATAGGTTTAGTATTGGTAGACAATAGTTTTGCCCATAGCGGGTGTAATATATGTATCTGCACTCTGTAGGGCTGTTGCAAGGCATCATTCTGGTGAAAATGTCGGTAGCTGGCACAGCAGAACCAATTGAGTTCAGACACAGGAACGCAAGCAGGTACAGGCAAAGGAATACAACCAGGAACAGAGATGCAGCATATGCAGAGAGACCTGCATTTAATAACATGCGTACGTCTTTAACTCGGAGATGCAGTTGCACAATGAATTGATGAAGATGAAGAAGAATATAGAAGAGAAACGAGAAGAAATGGAATTGAGAAATAAATATCGAGATGTATTTATATATCTCTGAGATATGGTTGCTGGTCTATGGCGGTTGATTATATACGCGGGGCATAATTTACCAGGAGGTACTGGTACATTACAGCATATCCAACTGTCAACCCATGGGTGACTGCCCGACGGCCAGACAGCCGGACAGCCAGACAGCCAGACAAGGCACAACCAGACAACAGCCTACGAAGAAATAGAAAGGGTCTTCGATCGTCCTCCGTTTCATCGACGTCGAATGTGATCGAATGTGAAACAAAGCATCCAACCTTTGCTTGCCCTGTATGTGGGGAGTATAACAGATGGAGCCATGGCTCATTGGGGTTAGTGATATGGAGATGTCTTCGTTGGTTCCCAAAGGTTAATTTGGTTGGCCCCTTTGGTTGGCTCGTGAGGTAAATAGAAAAGAATATTCCATCCAACAGACTTGAACAGATCAAAATTCATCCGGGCCAGTTAGGGAATTTGATAGGAGCGGAGTTAAAAACGAGGGCCAGAATTGGTTTTGGTTGTCCAGGAATGCTGCAAGGTTATCTCGCGTACCTGCACTGCTGCTGCCTTTGGATGGCCAAATGGTGCGTGCACCTTGAACGAACATGAGAGGGGGGTGGGAAGACGCAGGTTCATATATTTTTGAAGGAGCGGATTTTGTCTCTAAATCGTTCATCCCACTATGTTATATAGATTATTTTCTGTCATTTTCCTCATTGACATATTCATACTTTTTGAAACAGGCCCAGGTGGGTTGAACCAGCCTTGAAGCCCTGCCCGCTGTTTGGCAATGGTAGGCAAGGAGACCGACTGACAATTAGTTAAATAGTTATTTAATTGAATTTTCTCTTTCCTTCTTTTTGAAACAATCCCCTTAGTTGTTTATAATTTAGGGTACAAGTTAGCATACCTCCCGCCCACGCCCTGCCCTACCCCAGGTACCGGTACATCCTCCATCCACCGTCCCATTCCTGGTCCCATTGGGATCCCACCTTCCCAACCCAGGTTTTCCCACACCTTTCAGCCGCAACTTCAACTTCAACCTCAACCTCATCTTCAACTTCATCTTTACATCTCTCATCACCATCCGCTTCACTTACACTCCTTATTCGCTCTTTCGCTCCTTCTTCTGCTTCTTATGCTTCTTCTCTTCTCTTCTCTTCTCTTCTCTTCGCCTTCATCTTCGCCTTCGTCTTCGTCTTCGCTGTTTTCTTCACTTTCTCTTCTCTTTCTTCGAGCCTGGTGCTGAAGCCTGCATCTTCATTCCTCCCTCCTGTTCCACCCATCACCTTTGTTCGCCTCCCTTCTCTCGTCCGCTCCCGCCTGCGACCACCTAAATGAGTTCATCAACTGGCATCCAGCTGCTCTAGATACATATCTCATCAATCACTGATCACGCCTGCCGTTGCCATATTTCCAGTGAACCAATAACGAACTGTGGCTGTTATTTCGCCCTCGAACCTTCATCTTGAAACCCTCACTGGCCTCCCAAAAACACAGCCTCATCACACTCGTCATTGCTTTACCACGCATTTTCACATTTCCACATTCAACACTTTGATACCCAACGATAGAGAAAAATAAAAGAAATAGATACAAGTGAAGGAATCAACCACATCGCATCATCACCTATCTCACCCTCGCTAGCCAATCCTCCTCTTCACCTCTAGGATTGGTCGCCGTCGTCTATCGTTGTGTTCTCCTCCCTCCTCTCCCCCACTTCTACCACTTCTCCATCTCGGAATTTTTAGTATATTTAAGTTCCTACCGGGATCAATCACAGGCGTTGCCGTGCCTGCATGATAACCTACGCCTCGTCCTACCCACCTTCCCTTCAGAAAAGTTCCCCCTTTGCTCAGAACAAGAGTTAAAACAACTACAACAACAAGAATCGGCCATCCACAATGGCTCAGCTGGATGTCAATAATATAATGGGTGACCCGTTCGCCTTGATAACCCTTTCAATGGCTATGGTATATTAGTAACCTCCTTTTCTTTCCTCTTCTTCTGTTTTGAAAGGAACACGACATAATCTATACTCATTCCAAATGCTAACGAATCCCTCTTTTAAAACAATTACATAGATCGGATGGCTATTATCCTTGGTCACCTGTGTGATTTCAGATGTCCAAGGTATTTTCCCCAACTATGTGTGGTGGGCTGTCACCTATATGTTCGTAACAATCATCGGCCTTGCCATTGTCATGGGCTCTCAAACAAGCCATGTCTATGCTATCGCGGTACGCTATAGCACGAAAATTCCCGAGGTAAATTATCAGAATTTGACTAACGAATAATTTGATACTAGATTGTCGGTTATCTCGCCCCAGGTCTCTGCTTTACAACTCTCGCCGTCAACTCGTTAGTTTATGACGGCAGTGCCACCAAACAGGCTGCTGCTGCAGGATTTATCCTCCAATCCATGGTTATCGTATGCGACTTCCCCTTTCTTTCTTTCCCCTCCTTTTTCATACTTCCAAGTCAGACCCAAAATATTCCTCCTTTTCCTCATCTATCTAACAATCAAACAGATCATCTGGATCTTCTACTTCGGCTCAACCCCCCGATCCTCACCGCGCGGCTACCTTGACCACTCTGGCGGTGCAGGCAACGAACACCACTCCTACCGCAACAGCAAGCCCATTTCAAACTCCTATGGCCGCCCCGAAACAACTGTCTCCGGCAACCAACCACCACAAATGTACACTTCAGCCCAACTGAACGGTTTCGAAACCTCATCTCCCGTCGCCGGCTACCCCTCCACCGCCACAGATAACCCCAATAACGCCGGCCGCTTCGGCCAAGCCCCCATCGGCTCACAGACAAATCTTAACCCCGGAAGTAACCCCGTAGTAGGCGCTGGCGGCATCTCCCTTGGAATGGGTGGTGCAGCTGACCCATCGAATGCCAACGAAATCAGCCAGCCGACGGAATATCCCTATCGTGCTAAGGCGATATATTCCTATGAAGCGAACCCAGATGATGCGAACGAGATTAGTTTTGCGAAGCATGAGATTCTTGATGTGTCGGATGTCAGTGGCCGGTGGTGGCAGGCTAAGAAAGCGACTGGAGAGACGGGGATTGCGCCGTCGAATTATCTTATTTTGTTATAGGGAGGTGGATGCGGGGTTTTTGATTTCGTTTGCTTTTGTCACTTGGTCCTTCTTCTTGAATTTTATATGGGATTTTTTTTTGTTTGTTTGTGTGTATGGAATGTATGTATGGGGTTCAATTTCTTTGCTTTTATCTTTCGCTTCTACTTTTGGTATGCTAGGTTTTATGTGTATGTGTATGTGCGCGTTTTATCAGCCCACATCGATCCTACAGCTGCCATACCTCCGGTTTCCGTTTTATTCCCCTCTTTTTATCTTCTCTGAAATGTCATCTTATTTTATATTTTTGTTCTCGACAATAAATCAACACCATCTACTCCTTTAGGCTCGTCAAAGCCTTGAAAGAAAAGAATTACCTCTTCAATTTGATTTGATACCCGTCCACCCTTCTACCATCTCTATTGTCAACTCCATTCACCTTCTCTTTTTTTCATATTTATTGCATCCGTCTATTTGACTTTATTTCATGTTCAGGTCTAGATGACTTTGTAGTCTCTCTCTCTCTCTCTCCTTTTTTTTTTTTTTTTTTTTTCCCTTTGCCTGTGCATGTGCACGTGTTTTGAGCACTGCCATTATTCTTTTTCATCATATTTAGTATTTTCAAATCGCTTTCAACTTGATGCCAACCCCTCTTTTCTTTTTCTTTTTCTTTTTTTTTTTTTTAAAAAAAAAAATTTCCCCTCTGTTCTCTCTTCTGATCTTTGCTTTTCAGTTACCTAATGCGATAAAAGTGTATGTATGGGTGTGTTTATAAAAATTGAAATTCTCTTTGATTTTTATTCTTTCAACTCCTCTCTGTTTAGTAAATATTCATAACAAGCCATAGTCCCCTTTCTCGTTCTCGCGGTACTGGAACTAACAATCGGTTGCCAAGTCTGTAACTCGTTGAAGGTTCGTTCTCCCCGAGAATCTCATTTACCTTATTTTCTTCCTTTTGGATGCTGTCGTTGTCCATTTAGCAAATGCACGTACTACAGTGTATAGTAGTAATATATCCAGAGAGAAAATTCCCTTGCACATTCTAAATAAATCGAACATAGACGTCGGTTTACTTCATATCTTCCCGTCCCCATATCAACAGTTGCAAGGGCCCCTGCCTCTCGTTTCTTTTTTTAAATTCATCCACGTCCCCAGTTGCGATTGCGATATCCTAGCCATCTTAGCCGGTAGTTATTCAACTGTAATGCGAGAGATTCCCTACGCCTGGAAAAATATCGACCATTAGGCGTCTCGCTAGCAGTTGAGTCTGGTTCCGAGAGCAAGTCAGAGCAGGAAACGTTCTTCTCGCTGCCATAGTGTAAGACGATGATTTTGCGTTTCTGGGTTTGTTGTTCGGGTTGCTGCCGCTGGTATTGGTGTTTATTTGGCTTCTTTTGCATGATGTTCTGGTCCGAGAGACCCAGGTCATTGTCCGTTCGTGGATGATTTGTTGCCATTCCGGCCATGCATTTGCTAACTGCTATAAAATCTGTGGGGCTTAAACCGAAAGACATGGTGGTGGCGGCGTTTGAAAGGAAAGAGGCTTTTTTTGAGGGGGTTTAAGAATTTCACTTGTAGGTATGTTCTTCGTTTTGTCTCGTTGTTCGCTTGCGCCTGCACGCCTTTTTGTCGTAACTCCGTGAATTATATCGCCAGTTCACAAACTAAGAATTTCTCATTAGAATTGACAGGTCACAGCTGTCAAGGGCTGATTCTTATATATGTATAGGGGGTGCAGAGGTCCAATGTGAAAAATGTTAAAAATAGAAACTATTGCTCTCGCGCTGGTCCTTGCACAGCATCTGCAGAAGGAAACTGGATTCAGCTCCCTCGCCGCAGCATGCACAGACAATAATTGGGTGTATAGAGTGCACACTACTTACATGCAGTGGGTTAATGCGTGTGCGCGTGCGCCGGAATGCGGGGTTCCCAATGTCCTTGGAGAGGAAGAAGATCAACACAAGACACAAAGATTAAGAATGGCATCAACCACTTCTTAAACCATCAATTGTATCGTCAGTCTCTGCTGCTCAGTGTCTGCTCTGGACGAGGGATTTGATCTAGGCCAGGGACTTGACCGTGGGGGTTGATGAGGAGCAAGTTTACCATCGAAGATGGGCGCCTATTCGGCGCAGCACAGATTCAAAGGATTCTTAAATAGGATCTAAAGTTAATTCTATTCAAATGCCTTCAAGGTATGTTCCACGGGAAAGGGGTTGTCCCTTCATCGCCATGCTCGAGTTGCGCAAGCAATTCTTGAAAACCCAATTGAGCAAATGCTATGCGTCTACATTTGCTCATACGGACGAGTTTCTCTCATATCATCACAACCCCATTTCCTGCAGGAATGGACTTTTAATCAGATATGCAAATCGTTTTTTTACATGACGTTCAGCTGCCTTCTCCAGGAAGGGTATTAAGGAGGGCGCTTCGCTCAGCGGAAACCTTCGGTCTGAAACGACCCACGGAATGAAAGTTCTTTCATCAATCCAATGAGTAATACATATATCTGTCTAGCCTCTCTCAACGGTTAGAATGTCGAAGAACTTGGCTAAATTGAAGTCAATTGGTGTCGACGAGCAAGAGAAATCAGCATTTTGGCAAGGCCAAAAAGCCTCTGACTAAGGTTTGCGTCATTCATCTCTCGCCCAGTGCCGTGATCAACATCGACTCACTTGTACACGTTCTGTTCAGCGCTAACCGCTGGGCAAGGATAGATATAAGTCTTTATCTTTGTCGTGTTTTCCTTGCTAGTATTTCACTGTTATACTTCACTTCCTCTCGAAGATGATGACCCGGTACAAAAGGATTGTTGTCCGTTCCCATTGGGCCGATTGGCTCCGAGGACTGCTCAAACCAAGGTAGTTAACTTTGCGATGGCAAATTCTATTGTTGTATGTAGGAAAACGAACATGCTTCGTTCCCTGTTTTCATTCCTTCTCTCTGTATCAGTTCGTCCCTAGCTTTCTCCTTACCCCCAGTCCATGCATTACGTTTTGCAGTCTGCTCATAGCTCTGTTTCCAGAGATATCAACGGCACATCAAATCACAAGACCCCGCTGATGAAAACGTACGGAGAAGCAAGTCAACTCCCCCAACATTTTTATGGGTCCTCTTGGCTTTCCCGCTATAGCAATCTGATGGTTCCCTGGGGTCTTGTCAGGCTTGGGGAAAATATCACATCCGGACTGGTTTAAGGAGAAGTTCAGTTTCTCCCCCGGCCTTCATTTGACTGCTAGCGGTTCTTTAGTTAGTTACCTGAACTACGTTCACTGCAGTTTCCTCTGGTCGAGACTGCATTCTCTCCCGGTGAGACAGAAAGTGTTCAAAAAAATCACGCCCTGCTGGACCAGGCACGGAAACAAGTTACATTCAGATCTTTGGCCCTTAGCCTATAATCTGTCCTGGATGTCGCTTGGAGTAGTTTGGTTGGGTCTGTCTTAGGAATGAAATAATTCTGGGGAGAAAAATCCACCCAAATTCCTTGTTAATTGATTTTTGACAACCTCTTTCCAAGAAGGGATGTCGGAAGATAGAAAGATTCCCGTTGCGGCTAATGTACTTGGGACCATTGGCACTGTGCTTTGGTGCATCCAGCTCGTGCCGCAGATATGGCATAATTGGAGGAATAAGAGAACTGATGGATTGCCAGCGAGTATGATGTTTCTATGGGCTTTATGTATGTCTGATCCCCTATTGCTCAAGTAGATTTTGATATTCCTCCCACTGCCACGGGAATAGGGGGCAAAATTGTAATATGTTATGAACGAACACTAAACGAACACTAAACATTCCCTTAAACGAGCAGGTTCTGTGCCCTTCGGCATCTACATGATTCTACAGGTAAGTTTCCGCGGAGATTCATGCAAGGGGAAGAAAAGCCGCTCCTATTCTTAACATCCATTTTAGCAAGTGAACATTCCTATCCAAGTCCAACCTCAAATATTTGGCTCGCTGTGTACAATCTGCTGGGTCCAAATTTTATATTATAACCAGTAAGCCTGGCCCGTCTCCCACTAATAAATTGCGTAGACGTTGAACTTGATTTCACTGACCCCTGGATTACAGTGGCTACAGCTTGAGAAAATCAGTTTTCACCGGTGTAATAACTGCTGCGCTTATGGGTGGATGTGAAGCTCTATTCATCCTTACTTTGAGGGTAAGTTTAGCTAGCCATTGACATAATGCGACCATAGAATGGGGCCCTTAAAGGAGAGAAAATATATATCCTATGTAAATGGCTCGACTTGGTGCAACTAACCCGGATGTTTTTCACCTCAATTCACAGATTCCATACAATAAGGGCATAACTTGGCCAGCCCTGCTAATCGGGATAATCGCCACCATCCTCATTGCGTAGGGCTCATTGCTCCCTACTACGAGCTGTGGAAAAGAAACGGCCAAGTGATTGGAATCAGTATGTTCTCTTCCCTTGATTTCACATACCACCCCTTTCTACACTGCTTGAAATTCGGTTTATTAACTTCGCGACTTCACAAAGATTGGTTCTTCCTCTCCATGGACACCCTGGGCGCCGTTTTCTCTCTACTTGCTTTGGGTAAGCAAACATATCACATTTACACCATTGCCAGATATCCCTTCAACCTTGAGTGAAAAAGAGGACGAAGAGATTATTCGAGAAAATATGCTTACACATTCCACCCCCAGCCGTTGAAGGAACCTTCGACATCCTAGGCGGTATCATGTTTATCGTCGTGTAAGATTTTTCCATAATCTGAGATTTAATTGTTAAACTATCCTTACTCACAGAACCAAACTAGCCTCATCCTCGAACTCGGCATCTTCGCCAGCCACATCATCTGGCGCTTCCATTTTTGCAAAGAGCGAAAGGCAGCCAAGGCATCTGGCATGAGTATCGATGAATTTCTGAGCTCTAGGAGAGCCATCAGTGGTAGCAGCAGCAGTTGCTGTGATGGTCGTGGTGGCATTTACTATGAGCCTCCTCCTCCTCCTCCTACTACTACTGTTGTTCATGGTGCTGTTGTTGAAAAAGGGGTGCACATGGAGCGGAATCCGTCTGAAGCTGTACCAGCTAAGAATGTGGTTATCGGTAAGGGTTCCGTCAATGCGGAGAACGCGGTATATGCAGCTGGAGATGTCGACTTGGAATCGCAGAGTCGGTATAGTTATGTAAATGTGGAGGATAACGAGTAAGAAGAAGGTTGTATTATTAGACTTTAGTGTTGGACTGAGGTTCATGTTCATTTAGTTATGTCATGGGTTCTTGTATATTTTATTTCTCCTGCGTTGTTAGGTTATGTAAGCAGATACCGACGTAAGTGCGATTTCACTCCGAGTCATGTGTATGTATATATTTAAGAGTAGAATATGCCTACAAAAAATAAAATCTACTTCACGACCTCAGGGCTCTGCGCCGTGAATAAACGCTCTCACAAGGGGGACGTTCCTTTGCCAGGGACAATACCAACGCTCTAAAACGAAACGAATAACGGCTCGAGGTCATGCATCGCGCCAGCTGCAAGCAAGCCATCCCAACAACCAAAGCATAGATTGTAGACATCTCTACCCGGGTGGTTTTGGTTTTGTTTCCTCTCTCCAAATCCATTCATCTCATTAGTTAGGTCTATGCGGCGTACAGCATTGCCGTGCACCCTTGCATCTGTCCGCATCCACCTTAACCCTCTCTTTTCAGCTCCTAACACAGAAGAATCCGTGTAATCGAGAGCAACTCTTAGCGGGGAGGATTTTGTTTTATTTTTTATTTTATTTTATTTTTTTGTGGTGAAATCCATATGTGTGGATAAATATCATTATTGGGTGCTACACTGTTGTTAAGGGTTAGTAGGGGGGAATAATGGAATGTTAGCCAAACCATCCAGTCTCCAGTGAGACAAGGGAAGCGGGGTGCGGAAGAGGAAATTGATCAAGGGAGTTTGAATTGGAAAATCGAACGGGAGTGGGGTGGTTCTTTTCTTTTCTTTTCTTTTCTTTTCTTTTCTTTTCTTTTTCGGTCTGACGGGGGATTTGGGTAAGCTGATGACATGCATACCTTTTATATTGGTCAATTCCAGCCTGGTTTAACTAGGCGGTGGATGTAGGATAATGAGGATTCGATGCTGGCTGCCTGTCAACGTTCATTATTCTTGAGCGGAGAGATAGTATATATATTTCTGAACATATCAGAGCTTGGTCAACAGAGTATCCATGCTGTGTTAAATAAACCTGGCACCCTGTGGACGGCGTGTTGAGAATTACAGCCCAAGATATTTTGGTCAGAAGCAGACAGCAGTGCAAGAAGTGGCAGAGCAAAGACGTTGAGATGAGAAGATCAGAAACATGTGCTGCTGTTTAGTCTCTCTGGTTAAGCACACGATATTGACATGTTTATTTATCTTATCACCTTAGTTGTCTCTGAGTGTGTCCCTCCTCACTGCCCTCCCTCTCTGAGGCGTGCAAAGGCCTGTCCCCGTGTTGCGTCGTCTCCTACTCTTGATTTATGTAACCACCGCCAACCTCGACTCCCACATCCACATCCACATCCAACCACAGCCGCAACAACGACACTCTCTGGCAGCAGCCAGCACGCCTCGGGTTGACCTTGGGGATGAACTGGAGCTAGAAACATCTTTGTCCCAGGAACCACGCGCTGCTGTTGTCCGTGACCCTCGTTTCTGCCATCACAAGTTCATACGACGTCCCGCTGTTTAATTTTAAGGTGCCTGACTGACCCCCTCCACCGCATCTCGAACATCTGATATCCATGGGTGGTGGAGGTGGATGGATGGATCCCCCGTGCCAATTGAGATAACTAGTCAACCCAGCTAACGAAAGTGACTTCTCGACTATTGCTCGATCCACTTAACTTGCCCTTTAACTTATTCAGTTGTTGTTTTATCCACGCCCCATTCTTCTCCCTTGAACAACCATCTCAGCAAGCAACCGTCTAGAGGTGTGTGTATGTGTGTATGTGTGTATGCACATACAGAACATCCAAACGATGCGGTAGAGACACACCAAGGTCGCCGGAGTGTTTGTTGATTGAGATAGATACTTTACGTTGTTCCCGCGGGCCATGCCCATGCCCATGGATCGCGAGCGCCGTCTGTCGCGGTTTACAGCCAAACTACTGCGTCGGTCTTCCTCGTCTTCCGCAAACTTTGTTGCGCCCAACTCTTCGAACCCAAACTCCAACACCACTAGCACCAGCCCCAGCGTTACCACTGCCAACATTATTGCTGCCAGGAACAGCAGCAACAGCAGCAGTACCACCTCTGTCAATCTCAATAAGCCTAATGCCCATACGGCGGCCCATACAACGACCCATACGGCGTCCCATACGGGCTCCATCACCCCTCATCCCTCGGCACGCATCCCCGAAGACGACCAGCTCCAGCAGCTTCAATTGCAACCCCAGCCTCCGCACCGTGCTTCCTCTTCCAATCCCCCCTTTGAACCCTCCCTTGGCTCCTCGTTCAAAAGCCCGACTAATGACAGTTCTAACCTTCTCTCCCAGCTAACCCCCAGGAGGCTGCAGAGTGGGGACGAAACTCGAACCCTTTCCATCAGGTCAACAACCCTTCAGCACCAAAACCAAGATCCGAATCTCGCTCATGACCCACTGCGTCAATCAACCCTGGATAAGGAAAACGATGAAGTAGCAGATGAACACGTTGACCAATTCCCAGCTGTCAGTTTTCCCGTTTCCGCTGCTGTCGACGCAGACCACGAGGCAGGATCCTCTGACCACTCCTCGTCGAGCAGCTCTCGTGCTCTGGACCCAAAAGAAGACCGCATCCCATTCCGTGCCTTGGAAGAATTCTCACTCTCCAGATCTTCCTCTGCAAAGGGAAAAAGCTCCATATTTCGGTCTTCTCGACATCACCTCCCTCTCTCGTCTGCAGCATCCTCTCCGTCTCTCAACGTCGTTGATGAGTCTCGTCAACAACACAACACCTCCGTATCATCCGCCACATCTTCCAAAACTACTACCACTGTGAAACTTGTTTCCCGACCTAGCATTGCCGTTCGCCGTCAGTCCCTCGTTCCTTCTTCCCAACAACGCCTGATCAGCACCCTCCTCGAACCGTCTTCCTCTGGTGGTGGAGAATACTTCTCCGGAGGTCTTCCCGCCATCCATCGCGAGATGATCAACCGTAAGATATGGGTTCGACGGCCCAATTCCTCACCGACATTGGTCACAGTTACGGAGGATGATCTAGTGGATGATCTGCGCGACGTCATCTTGAAAAAATACAGCAACTCCCTTGGTCGCACCTTTGACTCTCCAGACATCATTATAAAACTCGTTCCCCGAGAACTGACGAGTCGACCAAGCTCCCAGGAGCGTGTGCTTGGTCCGGAGGAACCCGTCGGACGCACATTGGACACTTTTTACCCCGGAGGACAGACCGTAGACGAAGCATTGATTATTGATGTTTCTCAGCGCCGCACACCAAAACCTTCGCCCAGACAACACAATATAGGATGTCATCTTGATGAACTACGTCCAGCGGAATTTGGAGATTACTTCCCTCCGATGCCAATGATTCCCGCATCTAATCCTTCTGGATCCGCCTCAAATGCAAGTATACCTAGCTCCCATCATGGCCCTGTACCTTCCATGTCCGTGATTACAACCGGACAACTCCCTCCTCTTCCCTCCCCGGGGAGCCATACCTCCTGGCACGCACACCAACATCAACATCGCCCCAAATATGGCCGTCAGCATACTCCCCCGCCTCCTATCATATCTACATCTACAAATGCCAGTGTGACAGGTACGTCCGCCGTTCTCCTGCGATATCCAGACCCATGGGTTGACTAGTCCGCCCGCTTGAAATGCTTCATTTATAATTTTATTGTAAGTTCATCACCGCTAACGTCAATTCCTACAAATCTGTTCCCCCCCCCTTTTCTCTTATCTATAGAACCTAACACTACCTCAATCAATGGGGTATCTTCTGTCTCTCCGCCACCATCTATACCTACGCCTCCCGCCTCCGTCCCCTCCCCCGTCCCCGTCCCTGTTCCCGTTCCCGTGCCTACCCCTACCCCCGCACCCGCAACCTCACCCGCACCCGCAACCTCACCCGCACTCGCACCCGCCCCCGCACTCGCACCCGCC